GAGGAGTATTTCAGTAACGGAGTAGATCTAAAACCAGCAGTGCAGGGAGAACATCTTTAGTTGTATACAGGAACAACTGAGGAAAAGACGTTGCACCTCTTGCATTCCAGTGCTTTAAAGCATGATGAATCTGGAATACACCTACATGATTCCAGAATCCAGATTTCTCCCTTTTTTCATGAACATCTACACCATGGAAGATTGCGTATCCTAATTCAAAACCAAGAATGTTTCATCATCTGGGTACATAGACTACAATATTGGTCATTAGCAATTCAATTTAATCCATTTTTTTTTCCTTCAACTTTTTTCTCTGCTCATTTTCTCTTTTCTCTACCATTATCTTAAGAATTTTACTGTGTTATAAAATCCTTTCACTGCTTTATGGAAAGTTCATTGTGAGTTAAGGATATTATCAACACTTGATGGTATGCTTTGGGCAAGTCTTCATTCAGAGGTCTCCACCAGAGGTGTCTCTGGAATGTTTGCCTAAGTTGGAATAATTTTATCATGACTTGTCAGTAGACTCATGTGGAACAAGACATTCCTTTAATTCGATCTGTCTTAGGATGAGTTTTGGAATGTTTCAGGTCTTTGTGTCTTTAAGAGCTAAATACTTCTGATAATGAATGACACAATGTAAGAGTAAGTTTCAGTACCCAAACTTAAGATTTTTTCCATGCTGTAGCAAAGTTGGCTGTTGAGGGTAGAGCTGTGTTGCCCTTCTTTAGTTCTAGTTTTTTTCTTCTACCTTAATAAATAGCAGGAAAGGCTTTGATAAAATAAGCATGTTTCTATGGTAGACATAATTATCTCCTTGGTGTGCAAAGATTTGTCAAATTATAATAGGTTTTGACTTCTGATATTACTTGCAGGCCAAAAGCACTGTATTTATCCCTATCAGGATCTGTCACCTCTTACCCCAAGGAACACAAGTTTCTGAAGGATGTAGGAATGAAGTCACTACTTCAGGAACTAAAGCTACTTGTGACTTGAACCTTGTATCTTCTGCTTTTCAAAGGCCCCTTGAAACTGCTGATAGGATGCTTTCATCAGTTGGTGAAAATGTGGAGGTTCTTGGCTGACATCAGTTCATCACATAAGTTTGGAAAAATGACAGCTAATCAGTGATTGGTGTTTTGTCCCAGCAGAGCATTTTTCTGAGCATACTTGAAAATCCTACCTGAAGCAGTCATAGAAAGGAAGGAAGGTGCTTTTGTGAACCCCAGGGGTTAGGCATCTCTAATCTTTTAAATTGAGAATTAATTTAATTTTAATTCTTGAAATTTTATTAAGTAATTTTGTTTTATTTGGGAACTCAGCCTAATGCCTAGTTTTGTTTGAGCTCTTTGAAGCAATTTAGGTGTGTGCTTATGTTATTAATCTTAGAAATCAAAACAGTGAAACATAACTTGGTAGTCAAGCAGCAATTTTGATTTCATTATATTAGAACTTGTTGCAAGGTGGGCAAGGTAGATCCTGCTTGCTTTTGGTGCACATTCTGGCACAGCTTGGACAGTCTTGCAGCATAGGTAAATATTCTCTGAGGCAGATAGTGACTGCATCATAGTCATCTTAGATGTTCTTAGAACACCGTGCCTTGAGTAGAACTGCCATCTGCCTCCATTCCAAAGACTTCATTAATTTTTCTTCCTGCTTGCTGGTTGCAAGGTACTGCATGAGTACACATCAGTCTGTGTGCACACAGCATCCGCCGTACAGGAGAGCTGGGGTAGGTATCATTTCAAAGATGGCAACCCATGTCTGAGCTGAGGCTTCTGAATTCACAAGCTAGTGCTTCATTTTTTTCTTTTACTAATAATACTTAAGTTCCTATCTTGGAATATTCTTTTGCCTTTGTTTTGTTATGGGGGAGGTGACTGTATAGGCATCCCTCAAATGAAAGTTACTCTTCTGCTTATTTGGTCATGTTTTCTTTAGAACACATTTCTCATGTTCCCAGATCTGCCTGCATCCTCCTCAGCCTCACACTCATGGGAAGTTATAATTCAGTAATAAAATATTTAATTACTGAAAATCCCAAGTAAAATAAAATACTAATTTATTCTACCTGGGGCAAACTTCCACTAGCTGTATTTACAGGATACTTTAGCTTCACTTAATTGGCATATCTCCACATAAATCAGGAAATACCTGGGGCCTGGTATTTTTGGCAGGTTGGTTTATAGCTATTATTGTTCTGTGCATTTCTGTAATTTTAGATCTTTATCATTTTCAAAGTCATGTTGACTGCACAGTATGAAATAAAAAATATAATCTTTATATGTTGATCCATTTACATGCATAAATAGTATAATGTATGTGTGTGTTTTGTGTACACATACTTAGCATGGTGTGTAATGTCTTAGATTATTTCTGTCAATAAAATTTAAATTTCAAAAAGTATAGCTTTCCTATAGATTTTTGACCACCGCTTAAAAAGTTGATTGTAATAATTATACTGGAAAAGTGGTAAATATTCTTATTTTGAGTACCATGAATTATTATAAATCTAGTATTCAGTGTATAGTAGCCACAAAACTTTACTGCATTGATAAAAACTGTATTCTAGAACAGAATCTGATTTTGACTTTGTGTCAACAAAACACCTTCATATAAATGTTGCCATAGTTCCATAACTTTATTAAATGTTCTTTGTTTATCTTCTTTATAACACTACCTATTAGTAACTGTAAAGCTTACATCCCAGGTAGGTGTGTTAAACTTTGCTACATATTACTTTATAGCTAGCTTTTTGTATTCTTGTCATGAAATACTTATGATAACACTTGCCTGCAGTGTCTCCTTTCCCATCAGATTCATCTTCTCATACAGCTGTGGGGCTCTTGTCATCTGCTATTTCCCAAGCCACAATTTCCTCATCAGTTTGTGGCTAAAACCCAAATCTTGATGATCCTTTTCCATTTAGTTCAACGTTGATCTTTCATCTTCTGCATTCTTTTAACCAGAAATCTTTTGCCAAAAACCTGACAAGATTGTACTTGGCGTCATCAACAGCAACATCAGGCTTGATTTCAGTGAGCAAAGATGAAACAGCTGTTTCATTGTCCAGATCAGCACTCAAGTACTCAATATTTGGTCATAATTTTTTCCAGCTTTGTCTGGCTGTGATAGCCTTGATGTTTTTCACTGTGACTCGTGGTGTAACTTATTATATTTTGCTGATCCATTTCTTCAGTGGTTCAGAAATAGATATTGCTTCTTCAGACAGTATTTCCATCCTATTTTCTTTTGTACTGTCTTGTATTGTCTGTGTTCATTCTTCAGAAACTCTTGCTTCATTTTGGCAAGTCGGTGTTCTTGCAATGTTATGTCCAGAATTGCCAAATCATGGCTCAACAGTTGCCGTTATGGGAAAGCTGCAGCTGGGTTTGCCTTATGAAAGTTTGTATCAGATAAACTGCTAAATTTTGAAAATAAGTGATGTAAAGTGTCTGACGGAAGTTTACAAAACTTCAGACTCTCTCTCTGCATGCGTGCAGGAGGTATTTCTGTGGTGTAACCCTTGTCTTTTCAAAGCTGATGGTTTTGTTGTTGTTGTTATGACTAGAGGACACCAAAGTGGCATGTCACTATGTTCCAGAATGACTTTTTAGTGCTTTTGGAGACAAAGCTGATGACTGTATGTTCAGAGGAAGGAGAAGAGATGAGAGTTCTGTTTGTCATTGGCATTAGTATTTTCCTATTAACTTTGTATACGACTGCATATATAAGATGATTGCTTTCACTGGAATAGGATTAAATAGTAGATTGTCTCTTTTATTTTAATTTAAGTGGAAAATGGTGAAGGCGTTTGGAAGTCATTCTCCTTCAATTAAATGATTTTTCTGTTTGTTTTGGGGTTTCATGTGTGTGCACGTGTTGCACACTGCTTGATTCAGTGATCTGTTTTCTATTGGAGAAGATTTACAAGCACATTGCCTGCCTCACATGAATTTGTTTCCCACAGAGATTCCTAATGCAACTTGTGAGGTTTCTCATTACCCAGCTATATGGATTACATTTTTGCTCCAATACCAACAAAATTAAATTACACAAGAATTGATTAAGATGCATGTAATCCTAATGTCTGATCTTAAGAAAAAACTTTTGTCATCTTTAAATGATAACCCTCTGCAAAATCAACAGTACAAATACTCTGCTTTTGTCAACTGGGATACGTCTACAATTTACTTAGCAGCTAATGCTGCAGCAAAATGTTAACAGCCAATTGTACAGATGAATTGAGGATGCAATTTTTTTAATTATTTTGTCTTTTATAGCTCATATCAATAAAAAAATAATAAAAAAGCCAATAGACTGCGTTAATTTGTGGACCTCCAGTTCCAGAACCCATGTAGATTAATACATGTCACTTTTCTAATCTTAAAATAAGGATGCAGTCCTTCAAACTAAATTTTAATGCCTTCAGTTTTGTTTAACAGTGTCATATTTTGAGCAGTTTGTCGTTTAATAATACACTTGAAAGACAAAACAATTCAAAATTAGTAGTGGTCAGAATTATATTTTATATTTAAAATGTGAGGAACAAATATAATAATGTATAAATCACACTGCATTTTTTCTTCCAAAGTGTAATGAAGGTTCATAAATTTCTTTGCAAAACTTTCAGATCTTCATATCTGGCTAAAATTTTCCAGTTTTCATTAAATATTTAGATATTTTTTTTGGTTTGGTGATCATCCAGGTTTATTCATGTGCATTTGGATTGTCTATCAAGCATAGTATTTTAAGTTAATATATTATATTTCACTTTTTTGTTATAGAGCTTCCCTTCAGATGAAAGAGGACTAAAATAAGGAATTACTAGTGCAAGTCTGAATGTAGCATTTCATAATTTGTTTTCAAAATATACGTGCTCTAATTATTGTTTCAAGTTGTCTTCTATACATTTCCAAATATGTAGATTAAGATATCCTTCTCATGAAAATGAAATGTGTTTTGGTTTAGAGTGATTCACAAGACACTTCTTTTTCTAGCAGACTGTAGGAACTGTTCCACTTGGTGTGTCAATAACTCGAAAAAAAGACGATGAAGCATCAGTTGGAAGTGCACCTTTGGCAAGGCAGCAATCGAATCAAGCCTCTGAGTATGCCAGCAGTCCTATCAAAACAAAAACAGTAACAGGTATGATCACAGAATTGAAACTAGCCATTCTTTGCAACCTCCCTCAATAACATGCATCCACAATTGAACAGCATCAGCAGTGCAAATACTGTGGAAAAACTTTCAGTTTTGAAGAAATACTTGCCCAGAAAATTACAACTTTTTACATTAAAAATAATCAAACTTGCAATTTTGAAATATATGTTTCATTTTCTTCTCATTTTCATTTAGGTACTGTTTTTGGGGCCCTGATAGTTTCATGTAACAATTTTTTTTTAAATGACATAAAGGAGATGTGCTTTCAATAGAATATTTGCTGTTTGCCTTGATATTTGATATTTTAGTGCGTAATTTTATCAGACTTTATACACTGAGATTAATCTCTTTGATTTCAGTCAGTCCATTCATATCGCTTAAAGTTTGGCATGTATGGAAATCAAGACTTGGTCATGAACAGTTAAAATTCACTGTTTTCAAAATCACTCTCCTGTAGAAAATGCATTTGTGGCACATCTGTTTCTGGAGTTCAAGAAATTATTGAATTTAGAAATAGTGTCTGGCCATTTAGGAGTGCTAAAGTTAAACTTTGTGATCACTAATCAAGATGATATGGCTTTCTGGGATTTTCTTGGCTATGTATTCATATAGTACTGTCTGCAAGTAGTAAAGTAGTAGGTCATCCAAAAAAAAAAGTGACTATCCAGCTGAGACTGCTAGTAATCCTTCTGAATACACTGAACAAATTCTCTTTTCCTTTGCATTGATGTTTATTTCCAGATAATCATGAAGTACTTCAAGATGTTGTCTACTGAAACTGAGATTACAATCTTGTCCATTAGCGGTAGGGTTAATTGTTATTTTGAGGTTAAAGAGGACTAAAGCCAGAAAATCTGTTTGCTGAATGTTATGTGGGTTGCCATGTTATCATTGGTAGTAAAATAACAGATTCCTTTTAAAGACTTCTTTCTGTTTCATTTATGGATATCCTTTACTTTTGCCATTTATCCTTTTATTTACCATAAATTTATTGATTTCCTCTATTTTTGCCTGTAATGAAATGACTCTACTAAGTGTGTTCTTAACTGTATTTATCATCTGTTCTGCTAGATCAACATCATAAATGATATGAATTGTTTCTTCTTGAGGTTAATTCTACCTGTGCCTGTCAACAAAGCACAAAGGTGTAATTCACTGGAGAAACTTCTGTAATTTTGAATATTTGACATTCAAACCCAGCTATTTGTGTTAACAGATGCTAGATTAGTTTGTGTTAATTATCAGTTTATAGAAGTATGCATGTAATTTGCAGAAGTAGCTTTGAGTTTCGAAAATTAGTGTCCCAGTCTGGTACCTGCTCAGTTTGGTAGCCAGTTTTGATCTTCAGCCTTTGTTATTCTTCACTTTGAGTATTACCTTTTCTGTAGTGATAATCACACCACAATAGTCTACTAAAAGAAAATGTTATTGTTCAAAATCTGGGAATGCCATGAATGTCAGTTTTGCTTTTGTTTTGGGTTTTGTGTGTGTGAGTGCAGAAATGATAAAACAAAATGATAAATTATAAATAACATCCTAAAAGCAAAAGAAGGATTTCTGTGCATCTCAACTTCTTCCACTTTTTAATTTGAAGTCAATATCAAGATGTGTTTTCAATTACTGAGTACAACACACATTGCTGCAAAAATAAAAGGTTCGTTTTTAGGTTTCATTTATGTTAGCTACCCATTACTTCACCCATTCAGTTTATCAAATAAGTTTAGCCTAAATGCTGGGGGGGGGGGGGGGGGGGGGGGGGGGGTACTTGGCTTCTCTATAAAAAAATTTCGTGGCATAGGGTTTGATACTAATAAATGAAAGTTGATAGTAGTAAATCTCTCAAGAGATAACATTGACTAAGCATTTTTTTTTAATTAGAAGCAACGTTTTAAAGAAGAGATTACTAAATTTGGTTTCATTAATTCTCAACTGTTAAAAATCTGTTGAAAAAAGTTACCATTTTTTTAAGTGAAGCTACATACATCTAGCAGAGGGTCTGTTTTCTTTGTTTTTAAGACGTAGTGTGCCTGACGCTGCTGGTTTGAGTGCTAGCCTGTGTTTTAAAATGTCTATTTGGAGATAAAATGCCCGGTGTAATATACCTGAAGTATTTGAGATTTACATGCAAATATGGGGAATAAAAATATAAAATGAATGCCAAAGATCAAAAGCCTTGTATACTCAGGAAATTACTTAAAGGGGTGCTATGTGTCTGCTTCAGTAGACCACACAATTTCCCTTGATTAAAGAAAGGAGAGCCATGCCACACTGCAGTGCCATGCAGCCTTGTTCTCTGTATAGCCTCCTGAAACTTCATGCAAAGTTACAAGCTTTTTCTGTGGAGTTCATCTTGTGCCCTGTTTGTCAGAATTGTCTTTGCACTGGAAGGTTCAGGGGACAGTAAAAACTAACATGTATGATGTGTCTCAAAAAAAGTCTCTCCTTTGATTACAAAGCCACCAGTTAAGTGGTTAGAAAAGGTTGGATGGATGCAAGTGTGAAAGGTGAGATCTCATTCTCAGAGAAGTTTCAGTGGATCCCTTCTTTCACAATTTGTTTCTTTGCAGATATATAATGTGCTGGAATATGGTGAATGAGTGACTAGTTTATTAAACTAAAAATAGAGTGCCTGTGATTTCTTCTCCTTTCTAACTTTTCTGGGTCCCTTGCTCCCACAATTTTTCACTTTATTTCCTTTCTTTCAATTACACCTGCTTTCTGTCTGAATTTTCTTTCATTATTTGTCTCACCTTTTTAAACCAGGAATACCACACTTACAGGTTTAGGATGTATAATGCCTATCTATGCTACAACAGCATTCTGGGTGAAAGGGGCAATTATCCTTGTAAGCCTTGTATTTCTTAATCATCAAGGCTGTAGCTACAGGTGCCTGAGATCCTACATTGATAGCAAGCACATGTGCATGGTCTTTGCAGATTGAAACAGATTGTAGTTTGAAATCATGCTATTCAGGTGGTGATTTTGAATTTATCCTTTTCAAGTCTAGCATGATCTCAACAGTCACTCTCTTGAGAACTGCTAGCAACCAACCCTATGTATTAAGTGAAAGCAGTTTGTAATCACAGCTGTAAAATGATTTAAAACATTGATCTTGAGTTCCGTTTATTAGTTAATGACTGCTGAGACCTTGCCAAAAATGAAGCATGGGAAAAGAGCAAAACTACTATTTATATGGTATCTGTCTGTGAAAATCCAAGGTTTCTGCTCTTAAGTCTCAAATTGCTGTTATTTATAAATCTCCTTAAGCACACAGGCTTCAAAAACAGATTAAGATAATAGAATATGTGGTTAAATTTTGTATGATGTGGCTGTGAACAAGCAGGGTGATAAAGAAAGAATATTAAAAAAAAAAAGTAATAAGTACTTACCTCAATTCCTCCATTCACCCATTTCTCCTCCCATTCTCAACAATTCAGCAGTTGCCTGTTAGTTCAATGAAAAATGATTTGGAGACCCATAGCTATACGTACAAGTACAGCTCTTATGTCTGGATGGTGGCAAAATGATTGCTATATCCATGTATAAATATGTAGTGTATGTATATATAGCATATGTAGCATAGCTGTACGGAAAGATATTATGGGCTGCAGTAGATGGATAGGGCAGTCTTTGAAACCTGTCTTGTGCACACTGTTGAATAATGATTAAAGCCAAAGTGTCCATTTTCACACATGCAAGATTAATTACTAAAATAACTTGTAGATTTAATTCATATTAAGTTATTAAATGATTATAATTATTTTCACTTTGTTTGAAAAATATAATAACATTTTCAATGCTTAAAGATGAAATTGTTTTATTGTTTGGGTTTTTTTGGGGGGGGGTGGGTTGGGGTTTACTGCCTTATAGTGGGGTCTTTTTGTAGCCATTACACTGAAATTTAATTTCACCCACATCTGCTGTGACATCCAACATTTATCAGTGCTTGGAAGTAACCATGATATCCTAGACACAAATTTAACACTGTCTTAATGAGGTGTAACCCAGTGACTATGGCGTCTAATTCTTCAGTAGCAGTAGAAAAGTAGCCTCACATACGCTCTTCAGTGTGAGGAATGCCTTTAATGACAGAAGCCTCTTTAGAGAGGTTGAAAAGGTTATTTATTTTTTCTCATTCAGAATCCTGAAAGTTGACTTTTCTTATAGCCACAGGATAGGTAGGTGAGTGGAATTTAAGGTATCGTCTAAGAAGTCATGAACCTTTCAGCTGGAGTAGACCCCATAGCCTCTTACAAAGGCACCTGAAAACTAAATGCCCTGTCCCATAGCTGAATGTACACTTGTCACTGATGTTGCTGATCCCAGTTATGCAACAGCCAAGTATTTGGTCATGGTACAGGGGGTAACTGCTTTTCTGCCGTGTCGTGAGTGTACATCAGTGCATATGACAGCACGTAAGTGGTTTTCATCACTAGGTCCAGTGTCCGTGACCAGATATTGCTCCATTTGGTTGTCTGGTAGACAGATTGCAAGGGCATTTGCAAAAGAGAATTAAACAGTGGTGAGTTTTGGCCCGCTTTTTTCTATAGGCCAGGTTGATCGGGTCCACAGGTCAGGGAGCACACTGGTCATTTAATTCCTCTACAATTTCAGTATTACCATGAAGTGTCAGTCCCAAGTTCAAAGCTGAGAAGAGCATCCAGCATTGTTTCCTTCTGCGGGAAGTGTATATGTGGTGCATAAGAGTATGTGCATATGGAGAGAAAGATAGGATGTGAAATCATTCCAGTTTGGAAAAAATCTCTTATTTGTGTTTCTGAAACATTGGTATTTTGTTCTGTGGAACTATTGTTCTTACAGAGGAATAATTTTAATTAAGTTTTAAAGTTTCCTAAGTGCTAGTCTACTATTCATTTGTATTTCAAGCAGATGGAGGATGTTGTTATAATTTGAAAGCTTAAACTTTGTCTTAGATGGCTGTTATATTCTCTGTCCTGTATAAATTGTCTGATTTCTAATAAGGA